GTAGATTGCATACGGTGTCTCGTAGCCACCCCGTTATTTTTCAGCCATTGTATCTCGCGCGAACTTCAAGCAGGTTTGTCCGCGGTGGAGCGGTGATTCAGAAGGAAAGCGCGATCGATCAGCATTGAGAATTACGAGGCGCCTGTGAATTAAGGAGAAAACGTCCCCGCGAAAATTCGCGGTCTTTGTGGAGGATTTGAAATATATCGATTTCCGTTACCGTGCCGCGGTGCGCGCACGAAGACATCGACGATGCCTTGAAAGTGATTGTTCTTCGATATGAAAGGTGTACCGGCAGATAAAGCTCGATTCCCCTCCGACGCTTATGCGACATCCGCGACGGATATTAACGCGAGTATTGCGCGATGTAGAGACTATTCGGTTCTGCTTGCTCATAATCATAAATATTTATATTCCCGTGCAAATTGCAGGCGGTATTTATCCTACGGGTGTGGAGCGTTGAGCCGTCGAGGGCCGCTATAAGGCCCTATAATAGAGGCGCGTACTAGTAGAAGAGAGTTGACGAACCGTCGCGCATTATTTTTTATCCGCCTCTTGGGTTCTTATATTTCACCGTTATATTCACCATTATATTTGCTCTACCTCTCTTCCGCAGTGGTTGTTCGCTTCCATTCCGCCTCGTGCACTTTATTTCCTTGCTATTCAACTGCCCACTAACGTCTCTTTACCTTCCGCTTTCTGTCCCATCTGCTCTCATCTTCATTCCCATCGCGCCACTCCAGCCGACGTTCTCTCTCTCTCTCTCTCTCTCTCTCTCTCTCTCTCTCTCTCTCTTCTCTCTCTCTCTCTCTCTCTCTCTCTCTCTCTCTCTCTCTCTCTCTCTCTCTCTCTCTCTCTCTCTCTCTCCTCTCTCTCTCTCTCTCTCTCTCTCTCTCTCTCTCTCTCTCTCTCTCTCTCTCTCTCTCTCTCTCTCTCTCTCTCTCTCTCTCTCTCTCTCTCTCTCTCTCTCTCTCTCTCTCTCTCTCAACAACGAGACATGACTGTGTTGAAAGGAAATCGACTGTACGGATGTTGAAAAGAAAAGAAAAAAGGAATATCGAAGTGCCGTTTAATCCAGAGGAGATTGCCGATTGAAGAGGAAACAAGGGTTGATCTATCAGAGAGTTCGCCGGAAACGCCGTGTTTTCTTGAAAGGAACCGAAAATAAAATAACGAGGGGGAAGTACGAGATTTTTATTAAGGGGTTTTATTAAAGGATAAAATCCCTCCCCCAAAACGGCCGAGGGATTTGCCGTCAAGAGAGCGTACCGACATGTACAGATATCCCGTATGGAGGAACGAGCGAGCGAGCAAGCGCGTTTATTCTGCGCAAACGATCAAGAAATTTCAGCGGTCTTTATATTACGTTTTCACCATTGCAATCTTTTCGCGCAAGCTCGTTGCTCGCTCCCATTTCCCGACGCGCATTTTATTCCTCTGCTGTTCGACCGTTCTTACCAACGAACCTGTGCGCGATATCGGGTCGAACGGAAATCGATTGTGGCAATATTTAAAAAAACTCAACGATACACTCGCGCGCACACACGCGCGCGATTTAAAAAACTAAACGGGCCGATGACAAACAAAATTCGATTTATTATAGACGCACTCCGCTGAAAGCTGTTTCCCCAGAGAGACGACGTGGCATCGTAATGACAAAAAGGAAGAAAACATATTTTTATGTATAAAGAGAGAGAGAGAGAGAGAGAGAGAGAGAGAGAGAGAGAGAGAGAGAGAGAGAGAGAAAGAGAGAGCAAATGCACTGGACTAACGATCACCCCATTAAGGGTGGACGAATTAAACCTCGTTTGCTCTCGAGAGACTCGTTTACAAGCAACTTGATTTTTCCGCGAGTGCTTTGAGCGCCGGCACGAATCTACTGCGAGTTTACTTCGACCTCAGCCATTTACTTCTGTGCTCGCCCGCGGCTTAATAATCTGTGCAAATCTAATGCTGGACAGGTTGGCGCAATACAATAAGCCGTATGTTCGCGAAAAATATCGATGCCGTGGCGTTCCGTCAATGTCGAGGGTACACCGTAATGGGCGAATGAATGTATTTACACGCAGATAAAGCGTTTCGCCGCTATTGTGAAGCTCAACTTTCTGGGTCCCGCGAATCCGTCCTTCTGTCGCGCTGTTCGCGGGCTTTGCATGCCGATAAAATAAAATTCGATAAAAATAAAATACGATAAAATAAAAATCGACCGCAAAGGCATTTGTACAGGAAAATCCGATCTTGTGAACAGGTGACATTGCATTCATTGGATCAGTCGCAACGACGCACGTGACTTTGATCGCGTAACACGACCGAGCAGCTGTTCGGTCCACATTCCGGCGAAACAATAATTTGTAAAACCTATTGTTTACCAACATGGCTATACGCGTGAAATTTCATTCAGCCGATCGCGCCGGTATCGTCGCGCTCGCGTTGTCGTGCCGCAAGAAACGTTACGCTATAAAGATCGAAACCGTCGAGATTGTTGTAATCCGTGTATAATGACGACGATATCGCCGCCCGGCCGGAGCGGAATGATAATGGAACCTCGAAAGCCCATTATCTCCTCGCCCCGCTGAGAGGAGCCATTACTCGCCAGCTTCCATTCCCGTTGATCTTTTCCACTGTTCCCTGTGATAATCGGAGGTAACTGGTCGGGGCTTAACCGACCGGCATAAAGCGCTCCGACATTTCGGACGCCGCCTAGATCGCCGTAACTGTTACACGCGCGAATCTCGCGCGCAAACAACTATCGCGTTACATAGTAACTTTGCGCTTCCGCGCGGGAGAAATATCGCGCAATTCGCGCGATCATTTGCCTGGCCACGTCGCCCGCGATCATTCCGCCGCGTGGCGGAAGATCGAGAAGATATTCATCTCGTGAACTTCTATTTTCGCCGCGAGCGCATATTCCTCGCTCGATTCCACAGTCGTCGCGGCTCCCTCCGCGGACAATCCCCCCGCTGACAATCGTCACGCTGTCACCACTCGCGACTCACTCCGCGGTGGAGAGCTCGTCGGGCAATTTGGAAGCGCGCGGTATCGCTCGCGCGTTTACCGCTATTCACCATTCCTGACACTTGATCCGGCCAACAAAAGCCGTTCCTCGGCGAGAGACACAAGAGCGAGCGCGAGCGGCTCTCCAACGCGGCGCGCTCGAAAATCGATGTCCGTCCGCGCGGCGTCGCGGCTTGTTCGCGTAAACGCGAGGCTGAACGGCGCTCCTCGGAGTAACTCCTTGTCTACTCTCTGGCTCGAACGTGCTGCGACACTTATAACTTAGGATAATCCCAGCACGCTCCGGCCGGTCATTCTGCACGTACCGCCGGCCCTTATACTATCGCGCAGTAACCTCGAAAGAGAGCATGAGAGACGGGCAGCGCGAGAGGCGAGGACTAACGCGTGTTCGGCTCCTACGTTTAGTATAGCGTTAATACGGCGTTAGCGTCAGTTCACGGCGCACTTCTTGACTCTTGGCCGAGGTTATCGACCGTGACACGGGATCATTATGCCGGCACGGCGCTACCGGTACGGAGAGCTCGTAATTTCGGATTAATCGGTTTCTTCTCCCTTCTTCTCCCGCTGCTCGCACCGCGACGGAACGGGAGCGAACGGGGAAAACGCTAATTGCGCGAGCAAACGCCGGTTTAATGTAAACGCAGCGGACGAATATCGAGGGGAGGTGAAGATACCCGCGATAATGCCCGCGACATTTTTCCGAATAATTAAGAATACCGTGCCGTAACAATCACGGGAGGAACAATAGCCTGCCCCCGGCCGAGCTGTTGTTCCTCGCGTAATCTTGTTTGAGGCGTCGCACGGTGAGATATTGTCACGCTCAAAGACGTTTTCTTCCTTGATATATGAGATACCTGTCTTGTACGGCTTTCTCGAAAGAAAGCGTAAAGTTGGTATTGGAGGTAAAAGTGCTGTTGAATCTTTCAGAAAAATTTCCGGATCTCCGGACGTTTATGGAAAATCGTAATTCGGTTGCACGCGGGAAAGCACTTGAGAGAGAAAAGGAGAGATGAAATAATTAATAATTACTGTATTCCTCTCTCTGTATATATTTATTTATATATATTTATTCATTTATTTATTTATTTCCATATTTATTTATTTACTTTATGTACTCTTTATCAGTCGCCATTGATGCTCGTGGCGTGCTCTTGATTAATATATTGTCATAACAACGCGGTTCTGGTTTCATTTTATTATTGCGCGCATAACTACGAGTTAGCTCTATCGTTTGTGCATTCAACCGTTTGTATACTCAACTTTAATTACCTGCCGGACACTCACGATAACGATTACACTCTGCGGTCGCGCGCGGTACGATAGAAAGGGTAATACAGCGGTAACTGTAAACGTGACTTCGATTAAAACCACCTATTCTGCAGCCGGTTAGATGTGTGTTGCGCGCGCTCTGGTATAATAAAATTCTACTCCTGTCGCGGACACGGTATGAACGGAAACGCACGGAATTCTACGCGCAATTTCATTTAAAATTGAAAGCCACACACGGTGCATAAAACTTTTTAAGCGTTCATTTGTATGCCGCGCGATTTTTATCTTTCTCTGCCCAAGTAGATTCGTCATATATTTTATGCCAATTATAACAAAGGAAACCTGCTTCGGATATGAGGTTGAATTTAAATGAAAATTACTTACATGAACATATTTACTGAGCCATTTAGCAATTTAAATTATTATTAAACAAGTTATTAAATATGGATATACCGGATATATGGAAAATTGTCTGAAAAGTAAAAAGGGATCTCGGTATTTTTACCATTCAGCGTCCATTTGCGATAAGAGTACATAATTTTATGCGATATTTTATGTGTGATATTTATTAATTGCTTTAATTTTACTAATAATTAATTAGATTAAAATTTTTTTAAATTTTATTCGACTTAAAGGGCATCACACAACAAAGGGATAGGAAGCGTCATGTCAAAGCAACTTGCACGTTCAAACATGCTCGTCGCTCATTGTTGCAGCGTGCCAGCAGGTCAAATACGGCGTCCAGGCGGTCTTCGGGCCATCGGACCCAATTCTGGGCCAGCACATTCACAGTATCTGCGACGCCCTCGACATCCCACATCTCGAGGCCAGGCTGGACCTGGACGCGGAAGCGAAGGAGTTCAGCATCAACCTCTATCCCGCACAAAGTCTGCTCAACATCGCTTATCAGGACGTTATGGAGTTCCTCAATTGGACCAATGTGGCGATCATCTACGAAGACGACTACGGTAAGCAATGACGAATTTCATTGTCGTCCTAGGGAGCTCGCCAAGTACCGAGGAAGTGAGGAGTCGCGCAATCTCGATAACGAACACTTACGAGACAAGCGGAAAGCTGTCACGCTTCCGCAGGAGGACGCGGAGGAGCGGAGGACGGGAACGGAGCCCCGCTGGGACTCTTGACACGCTTTCATTAGCGTGTAGAAAAATTCGCCTTGTTATAAATTTGCTTCACGCACGGTAAAATTCCTTGCGATTGTCAGCGCGTGCTATTGTGCTGTAGTGGCGCTGTTAATGGCGCCGTTGCTGATCGCAAAAAAAGTAAATTTATAAATGCCTGAGGATTTTCTCGTTCCGTCGCAAAAGACGCGCATTAACAGTTGTCAACGCGACGGGGGAAAAGAAGTATGGCTTTAGAGATTTTCCGAGAGCATGCGGTCTTTCCTACTCACTTTCTACTTCGGGCGTTGGAAATAAATATATATTCTCATCAAGTATTATATAATATAATACACAATATATATAATATAATATATAATATATGATATATAATATATATAATATAATATATATAATATATAATCCCATTGTCCAACATGCGCATACTCGTGGCTATTTAATCGACTAAACAGTTCATAGCACGCAAGAGGCGAGAAAAATATCGTAGTCCTTTGATTCTGCCTGCTCGCGATTTGCTGCATTTACTCTTCAAAGACCAAAGACAAATTAGAGAGAGAAAAGATTACTCGCTGTTCAACGAGCGCTCTTCCTGAGCAACAACTTTTTTACAAAGCTCCGCTATTTTTTTGCAATTGAAATCGCAGGTATGCATTGTAAGTGAAACACGACATTCAGATGTTTAAGACTCGTTTGAAATTCTCGCTAGCACAAAGTCCACTCCGATCGAGTTCTGTGAAATTCGAGTTTCGCTGAACACGCGCAATCTGTTTTAAACGGATCCACTTACGCACCGGTACACGTGTGGAGTTATATTTTCGCACATTTTCGGGTAATATGAAACTATACAGCTAATCGAGGAAGCAAATAGATGAGGGAGAAATTAGCGATATAACGATTGTAATTAGCGGTGGGTTCGTTCGATTAATAGACGATTTGTAAGATTCAGCGTCGGGGTGGAGTCAATCCAGATTGAACGACGCTTTAAACCCGTCTTTGTCCGGAAAAGAAAGTCTTTCCGCTTCGGTAAGTCAGTTCCATAGCATTAATTAATTAATGGATCCATTTAAATAGTTCGAAGACTTTGCAAGGACGCGTTTGCTCCGGACTGTGCTCCGGTCTTTCCGATGGAGAAATACATAGGGAAATCTCAGTTGAGAGAGGGAGAGAGAGAGAGAGAGAGAGAGAGAGAGAAATTCACACTGTAAAGTCTGCCATTAAAGATGCCGAGGAAAATATAAAACGGAAGAAACACTTCAGAGAGGCGGTCTTGAATGCATAACGTTATCTTCCTTATCCTACATAAATTTATACAAATCTTTTAAAATTGACAGAAATTAATTAACATAATCGCTACCTCGTTCTTCGCAGTTCTCGTGAGCTCCCGTGAGCTTTCGCAGGTCCCAAAATAACAGTCGTGATATCGACGTTCTCGAAACGCTTATCGCGACCACTCGTCACGTCAAAGATGCGTCTGCAAAGATGCACTAATTATTCAGTGAAACGACTGTGCGCTCGAATCGCGCCTCGCTCCCAATTTGACGGAAATAACGAGCGGGTAGCGCGAATGGTCGGTCGAGTACGATTCTCGGGCCGGGATGATTACGTTGAATTAGGAGCGGCGCTGACGAGCTCCGCAAATGGCATCGCAGGCGTAAACGTGCGTTTCGCGAGGCCCGAATATTCCCGTGACTGATCATCGTAGCACGTGAGCCGTCACCGTATTGCGCCGTCGTGCGACACGTGAACTTCCTGCGAGATCACCGAATTCGCCGTCAGCTGGCCGAGTCGCGCCACAGTGATATTTCGCGTGACTTCTTGTTTCCGTAGGCATGTTCTTTTGTTTATTTTTTCTTTCTTATGCAAATCACGCTAGCTTATTACCCGCCGGATGAATCGTCAAATTGCGGTATCGTCAAATAAGGAGATGGCCGTGTTCTTTCGTGTAGGAGAAGCGATAAGCTATAAAACAGAAGCTGATATGAAATAATATCGAGATACCATTGACGAAATAATTGATAAATGTCGATAGATAGTGATAATAGTTAACAGAAATGAATGAAATATTGGCAGATATTTTTCTGTAAATTAGAATGTTGTAACGTGATTGAATTCTGTGATATCATGTATATAATATATTATCTGTTGACGAATAACAGATATTATCAATATGAGTTACGTAAGCTACATCAATTTATTCGTCATAAATTCCTTCGATCGCGGACAACATATATATATATAATTGTAGCACATTGATTTTATCAAACATCTATATATATATATATATACATTGCTAGCTTTCTATCTGATAAAATTAATGTGCTACGATTCATCTGACATTAAATATCACAACCTATGTTGTATTTTACTTCGCGACATACATATGTCGAATCGATAACAAAACCATGCTCATTGCTTATAATTCGAATCCTCATAAAAGCATTCAATCACAATGCAATTAAAAGCGATGTCACACGATCGCACGAAACTTTGTCGCATTAGCGGCAAAGTGAAAAGAAAAAACCTCGTCTGTCGACTGGCTGACACATCGTAACCGAGCCGGCGGTGTAACACCTCAAGTTTTTCTATCCAACTTTGTTCCCGCGCCGATAATTTCATTTCCGTGTCTCTATGGGATTCTCCTGGAATTTGACCACCTTCGATGGAAACATCTCCCGAGCTTAACCGCCTTCCTCAACGAGCTTAGCTATTTGTGAGGGTGCACGGAAGTACACGTACAAGCCGATTAGAACACCCCTGACCCCGCTTGGTTCCGCCGCCGACTCGTCCACCTTCCCCCTCGCCATCCCACCTTCTTCCAGGGCCGACACTGAATTCTTCGAGAGATTTACCGGGACTCCGGGATCTTCGTGTTTCTTCCACTTTCAATTCCAGCGCGCTATGTACCCGCGAAGTGTAAGGGACCTGGCTCGGCGAAATCGTACATGTCTCGAGCATGTTTGCCGTTACGAGCCACGTTTCGTCCCGAGGAATTTCACCTTCCCTGCAGAATCGAACAGATCATCGTGGTGCGACACGGTATGTCGTTCGAGCGGTTCAACATCGACTTTTCGGAACCCGGTAAAGCTCCCGATGCTCAATGCTTAACCACATCTGATTATGCCGACTGCTGCAAACTCGCGCGGGAATATCCAAACCCGGAGGTGACTTGATTGGAATGTATCTTCCTCGAGAACATGCTTTGGATTTATATGCAATGTTTTCGGAAGAATACACATACGCAGGTGTGCGCAGGTGCAAAATAAAATTACACATATCACTTGTATAAAATTATGCGCGAGTTAATTGTTATACTTATATTTTTCTTATATCAAAAGAGTTGTATAGATCGTGGATACAATTCGTAAATTTAATAATAAAATAATTATTCGTTTTAACGGACATAACTTTGATAACCTTGAACTTGATATATGTTGTCAAGGATATTATTCTGAATAACTGAGTAAAAAAAAAAGGTTTTCGCCGTCAGTTTTCATTTATTTATAAGCTATTAGTAGTTAAAACTTAAAAGTAATAACGATGTTTGATATATTTAAACATGATATGGATTTAATTTCTTTGATAAATATTAAAAAATATTTATGTTCATAAATATATTTAGTCGTTAAATCTTTCGTTTTATTAAATTGATGAGTCTATTTTGTACCAAAATAAATCCTAAAAATATTAGCAAAGACCCCTACGCGAGATTTTTTATTAAACGATTTATTACTGAAATACATCAAAACTCACACAAACACTTTGTGTAGTGATCTTTATTAATCTTTTCAGGATCTATTATTTTAGTATGTGATGAACTCATCAATGTAGTAAGGTGAAATATTTAATAACTAAAAACTTTTAAATATTATTCTAAATATATATCTTTTAAAGATTATAACTGTTTGTGTTTATTAAAATATTTTTAGTTTTCGTTAGGTTAGGTTAAATACGTATTGACAATTAAATAACTTTGCAAGTTATTTAAAAAGATACATAGCAGAAACTTTAAGTGATTACTTCTAAAATATATACGGTATTGGAAATAAACATTTAATTTATAAAACTGCTTTTATTAATAAATGTTTAATAAACAAAGACCGGTGACTATAATCTTCTTAAAAATTATTCAAAATAATGATCTTGAGGCTGTATGTTAAAATCAAGATCATCAGAGTTGTGTTTATTAACGAATAATTATCAGAAATAATATTGTAGAAATTATTAAAAAAATGCAGATTTAAAAATCTCATCTATCTCAGATTAAGTTGTTTGGTTCTGTCAATTTGAAATTTCCGTGCTATCTTCAATAGGGATGAACATCGCAGTTTACGAAATTGATTCACTCAACTGTCGGCCAAACGCCACCACTAGTTTCACGATCATTCTAGGAAGGTAGCGTGGCATTGGGTCTCTTTCAACTTTCAAGCAGTTTAGAGGGCCGCTGGTATCGATTCGCGATTACTTTACTCGTTTTCCGTCTCGTGAAGTTGCCGCGACGACGACGCGGAAACTTGCCCGACCAGTAACAACCACTATCCACTTTGCGCGTTTCTCGAATCGCTGCATCCCATCTAATCAAGCGATGGATGTATTCCCGTTCCTTGTCTAGTAATTTAGCTTGCGCAAAGATTTAAAGTACATTTTTGTGCGCACAATGGTCTTTTAGTTGTCGATGCGAACAACAGACGCAAGAAATTTTAAAATCGAGAAATTTAAGTAAATGTCGCTAAGATTATGCTACAAAGGACACACAATTTTCTTATAAATTAAAAAATTACAAAATTACAAACGAATATTAAGAGGATAAAAACGTGTTTCGTCCCTAATTA